TCGGACTAAGGGTGAAGTAGAATCCCAGAGAGCTGCTGTGTTACAGAGGCTGGTTGAAGCATCGGGCCTTTCTGCTTCTTTACCAAATGATTCCTTCCAAATGCACCATTCAGAGGGAAATAAAACACTTTGCTTTAGAGACCAGAAAACTACAGCAGGCATGTTTGAATGGTGAGAACTAGAAGCTCTAGATTGGTCAGTCCTTCCTGAACTATTGAAGTGATTCAGCTGAACAGCAGCAGATTTACTGAAATTAAAGCCGCTTCAGTTTCTTTTTCCTCCCATGAATCGAAGGGTTAGATTTCTTATGATGTGATCTGGGCTTACAGTTCCTTAGTTATTGGCTTTTCTTTTTGGGTATGCAAGACAGGAGAGGATTACTTCAAATTAGGTGGGTGTGAAGAGGTTATCATCCATTATAGAGAAATTAACATAGATCCATTTAATGAGGAAAGCAGCAGAGGAGGATCTATGATTCCAAAGAAAACATTTTTCAAATAAAGAAGAAAAACTGGTGGAATATTATCGGATATCAGGGGGCATTTCCAAAAAAGATCAAAGTTGCTGGATAGAAAGAACAGGAAATATCAAGATCTGAAAAAAGATCAACTTTATGAATTAATTTGAAAGAGATTTCTTTGACTTTATTAGTTGGAAAACATTGATGTGGAATAAAACAGTGCGATTCTAAACAAACCAGTTCCTAAAATAATCACATGATGAGGAAAATGTTTTTATTATTATTCCTTTCCATCGGAGAAGCTTTCTGTCCTCTCATTGGTCCACAGTCAGCATTCGATGCTCTGATTGGACGGCTGGGTTCCTCCTGCGCTCCTCTTCCGGGTTTCCATAAATCTGCTTGTTTTTAAACTTTTCCTCATTCCCGTCGGTGATTGCGGACCAACATGACGCCCCGGAGCCTCCTGCTGCTTCTTCTGGTCGCACCGGCTCTGTTTCCGGCTGTTCTCTGCAGATTTTCCACTCTGGATCACCTAAAGCCTAAAGCTAGCGAGGCGACGCAGGCCCGCGCAGTGACCGGGCTGCTGCGGCGGCTGCTGGGGAACAGATCCACCGAGTTCCTGCTGTCGGTCAACCGGAGCCTGTCCAACAACAGCCTGGATGTGTGTGAGCTGAGCTCCGCTAGGGACGGCCGGATCGTGGCTTCCGGCAGCAGCGGAGTGGCCCTGGCCTCCGGGATCTACAACTACCTGAAGTATTTCTGTAACTGCCAGGTCTCCTGGTCCGGGAAGCAGCTGGAGCTGCCGAGTCCTCTGCCTCAGCTCAGCGGGGTGCTGCGCATCAGCAGCCCGCACAGGTCAGTCACATGATCCGCTTCCTGCTGCTGGATCAGAGGGAAACACTTCCTGTTTAATGACGTCATGTGTTCATGGTCACATTTCCCATCAGACCAGTAAGGACCAGTTCTCAGTGGTCGGTGATAACGTAGACAGGTTATCTGAAACCCCTCTGATTTGCTGTGAGACCTGTTAGACCTGTGAGACCTGTTGGACCTATGAGACCTGAGACCTGTTAAACCTGTGAGACCTGTTGGACCTATGAGACCTGAGACCTGTTAAACCTGTGAGACCTGTTGGACCTATGAGACCTGTGACCTGTTAAACCTGTGAGACCTGTTGGACCTATGAGACCTGTGACCTGTTAAACCTGTGA